AGCCCCCCGGCACTCCCCCAAACGGACCAAGGCCTCCCCCGAAGCCCCAGTCCGTGCAGAAGCGCGCCGGGAACTTCCCTCACTGGCCTGAGGGACGTCCGGCAGACCAGAGGGCGCTACATTAAGAGCGCCTATAGTCCGCTCTCCTATGGGTCAGGGAGGCTTTACTTCCTCTCCGGAAAGGTGGTGTTGCGTTACCACTCCCCACCGCCCAGGGAGCTGTCTGGTCTGGATGTAGCGGGGACGAAACGGTCACCTAGGGGCGGCTTTCTCAGGGCCGCGTCTTTTTAATCATCGACAAGGGTTTGGGCGGCCACCCATTGCCTCATACCCATCAACGGCAAACAAGTAATCATGTTAGCGCTCAACTTCCGTTGCGTGGGAAGTCATGCGTTTTGCCTGGGATCTTTTAGTTTCAGAAGGAGAACTCCCCCCTACTAGTCAGCACGCCACGAAGAAGCATGATCCCGTGTGACACCACCGAGAGGCTTGTGGTGCTGGGCAAGGATTTTCCAGAGGTCCACCCTAACCCGCCCGAAACAGTGCATAACAAAGGACGATACCGTAGATATATACAATAGCAAAATTACGACACTCAAAATAGTTGCTAATTACAATTCATGAGATTTATTTAAGTATTAATACAATTACAAAACAAAACAAATATAATTACAATCATCAACTTACAGAGTATGGGATGTCTTGTACCGGCACAAGAGACACTCAAAATAGTTGCTAATTACAATTCATGAGATTTATTTAAGTATTAATACAATTACAAAACAAAACAAATATAATTACAATCATCAACTTACAGAGTATGGGATGTCTTGTACCGGCACAAGGTGAGTACAATGTGTCAATTAATAGTGTACAATAATGAATGCGAATAAACACATATAAGTGCACACAGAATAATACACATGTCTCGTGAAGGGAAAAATATCTATCCATAATCTCCGTCCCTGAATGTTCTCTGGACCCCTTTTATATGCCGCCGAAGACGCATTCCTGAAACCCCTTACGCATTGTTTATCTTTCTAGTCCACTCCCGAACTTTCCACAAAATACTATGAGAACAGATTAATTATTTTAAGTGTGTGGCGGTAGTAAACACGGACAAGATAAAGGGAATAGGCCAAGCCCAATACAAGCGCAGCCTAATTTGGGGTCAAACGGAGTTCACGGGGCGGGGAAAGTGACGTAAACAAGTCTTATACATAACAATATACTTTTATTTAATTTATAACGTAATAAAACTTAACCTTTAAATATACTTTTAATAAGAAAATGCTGTTTAAGTCAATCAGAAGAGCTAAACTCCATAGCCAAACAGCATTCACTTAGCACTCATCCAAATAAGGACAAGCCATATGAAGTGCACACACAATGTTTAAGTGCGCTACGATCATGTAGATGATTTTTTTAATTATTATTTTTTTATAATTTTTTTTGCGGGTTGGGGGGATGGGGGGGGGGTTAATACTATACCTTCAATTCGCCTCAGAAAGCACAAGATACGCCTCGGAATGAATTTGATAAATGATTTACTTGTTTTAGGCACATGTATATCGGAGTTATGATATAGGGAGTGTACATTTTTACGTGGTTGACAATATCTTTAAATACAATGAAATTACAATTGTGAAAAATTAGATGATATATTCTCATTTTACAAATAATTATGTTTACCAATTTAGAAAAGCATTGACATTAACAAAACTTTGTTACATGTTCATAAGATTACAAACGAATTTGAATAACCAATCATTTTACACAAGTGAACATTTATCTTCACAAAAAGAGATGATTTAAGATTTTTTTGAAATAAATTAAACTATATTTTTGAATTTACTTTGGGAAAAGTAAAGTGGGTGTATATGTTATGAGATAAATAACATTTGTTTCAAGTAGACAAGGAAGTTATATATGTGAAAAATGGTTTAGGGATTCTTCTTTAAATAAAAGAATTCTTTGCTATACGATTTTCCGATAATGTTTAATAAAGAAACAGGGCAAAAGTTTGGTTACAATTTTTAATGAAGATATCAAAACATAAATATCCGTTGCTATAAATTATATTTAGAATTGTATATATAGTTTTTTTTGTAAATGAAAGATTATTTTGTGACAATTTGATGAGAATAAAAAATGTAGTTCAGGGGCACAAAAAGGGCTAGGGTTGGCTCAAGATTTAATAATTTAAAAACACAAGACCTCTACAGTATTTATCTAACATAGAAATCAGTCATCAATGAACTCATTTTTTCTGACAAAAATAATTTAATTAGTCATTATTTAGATTTGGTTACGTTAACGTCATTTTTAAATTAAAAAAAAAATAAGTGTAGTTAAGAGACGCGAAAATGGGGTAGGGTATGCATATAATTTATAGCAGAAATTACTTCTCAAAACTTTTAATGATATAAGAAACGTAAACATGATTACATAGATATTTTTTTAAAACACGTACTTGTGAAAAAATGTTCCCCATAGTAAGTGGAAATTATCGCAAAGTGCCTACCATTATTATATCGAAAAAACCGAGTGATATTTTCTAGTCAATGAATAATTATTATGTATTTATCTTATTATTATCGCTCACTTCATGCTTATGTTAAAAGTATAATCTATTTTTTAAGAGGACCTTCTTTCAATGCCTGGAACTATCGCAACACCCACGGCTGCCCTGATTACAGACAGAGATGACTTCACGTGTTTTACATCGGACGTCAACACTCTTACAATAAACTTTATCCGGATGTACCCTATAACATGGATACGATTCAACGTTCAGCTATCTGGTGTGTTTATTTTTCAAGTAAAATTGACTTCAGCTATAAACATTTATTTTTAAAAATGATGTATTTCTCTAAAATGAAAGCTTATTTTCAAACTGGATAAGGGCACAGCCAGCCACAGCTGAACCGACCGATTACTGACCATTAGTGTCGTATCATGGTTGAAATATTATTTGTATTTTTCAAGGCTCGGCAATAAAGAGTAACTTATCTTACTGCCTTGTCAAAAAGTATGGGTAGGCATTAGAATTATCTGACCCCACTGTCTCACACCTTGGGTTAGAATTAGATTAATCTCACCTCCTTGTCTCAAAGCAGGAGTATCATTAAGACTCATCACTCCCTTCGTATCAAACCATTGGCTAGCATTAGATTTATCTCACCCTCTTGTCTCAAACCATTGTTTAGAATAAGAGTTATCTCACCTCTGTGTCTCAATGAATGGGTTAGATTGTGACTTATCTCACGACTTGTCTCAAAGCATTGGTTAGAATTAGACTTTTCTCACACCTCGTCTCAAAGCCTTGGTGAGAATTAGACCTATCTCACACCTCGTCTCAAAGCCTTGGTGAGAATTAGACCTATCTCACACCTCGTCTCAAAGCCTTGGTGAGAATTAGACTTTTCTCACACCTCGTCTCAAAGCCTTAGTGAGAATTAGACTTTTCTCACACCTCGTCTCAAAGCCTTGGTGAGAATTAGACCTATCTCCCCCCTTGTTTCAAGGCATTGGTTAAACATACTTATCTAGCCCTTCTGTCTCAAAGTATGGGATATAATGAGACAGTTTGTCAAAATTATATTACACATTTACAATTTCTATGAGACAGGTATGAGTTTTAGTGCATACGATTTGTTATTAAAGATAGCAATAACTCCATTTTCTTAAGTCTTACAAATCTTATTTATTAAGGATGACGTCATCTCAATCCCCAAATCTTTGTACACTTAATTAAATAGATTATTGGTACATATTTCAGATTTAATGAAAAGTATAACACTTGTGTCTGCTGATAATCCTGATATATCTCAACGCTGCAACATGTCGTCACGTATTGATGACAGAACTATGGATTTATTCTGTGATAATGTCATTGTACAGGAACTTGCATTTTATGGGAAAGGAGTTAAATCCCTTTGCTCTCTTTATATAAGTGGTGGTAAGGTATACGTTTGTATGTTAGTGGTGTTAGAGTATACGTTGTATATTAGTAGTTAAAGGTGTAATTTTGTTTATTAGTTGTTTAAAGTATACTTTTGTATATTCGTGATGGTAAGGTACGCCTTTTATATTACTTGTAGAAAAGTATACTTTTGTACATCACTTGTTTAAGATATACGTTTGTATATTAGTGGTTTAAGGTATACTTTTTAATATTAGTGGTGTTAAAGTGTATGTTTGTATATAAGTGGTGGTAAGGTTCTCTTTGTTTATTAGTTGTGGTAAAGTATGCATTTTTATATTAGAGGTTTAGGTATACTTTTGTATATTAGTGGTGGTGAAGTATACTTTTGTATAGTAATAGTGCTAAAGTATACTTTGTATATTAGTGATGATAAATTATACTTTTGTATATAAATGGTAGTAAGGTATATTTTTGTGTATTAGTGATGGTAACTTATACTTTTGTATATAAGTGATGGTAAGGTATACTTTGTATGTTAGTAGTGAATAAATATACTTTGTATATTAGTGATGATAAAGTGTACTTTTGTATATAAGTGGTGGTAAGGTATCATTTGTATATTAGTGGTGAATTAATATACTTTGTATATTAGGATGATAAAGTATACTTTTGTATATAAGTGGTGGTAAGGTATACTTTGGCACATGAGTGATTGTAACATACTTTTGAAAGTTGCCTATTTTCAGAACAAAAATTAAAGTAAGACAATTAATATTTTTTTATTCAACAATTTTAATTCAATGTATAATAATGTACACTTTTGTTGTTGTTGTTGTCATGTCATTGACAGGGCCAAGTGCTTTCATTTGTTAATAAAATTACTTGCATTTCCAGCAATACGTTCATAAATATAAAGAATTAATAGGCTACTTAATATTGCTAAATATTCTGAAAAAAAAAATCAAATCTTTTTCTTGTGAATGATGTGTTTTGAAAAATAGTTTAACGTTTGTTAATAATGTTCAAGAGAATGTCGAAGACGTCTGAAGTAGTTCACAGAAAGTTCAGCATAATGAAACGTTTGTGTTTTATAGGGCGGAACGTGGCGTTAAGGCAAAGGGTCACTCAGTCCAGTACCTGGAGCGACGCCACATATCCTGAAACAATGTCAAGGGCGAATAATGCTGTTGACGGGAACACCTCTGGTAACTTCTCTCATAGCAGTTGCACTCACACACTGGTCAATGACACCGCTCCGAATTGGAACGTCACTTTCTCTACGCCCCAGCTTGTAAACCGTTACGTCCTCTACAACAGAGTCCCAAGTAAGACATTGCATTGTTTAATATATCTTTCTTTTTGAAAAGGGGAAGTTGTTTTTCTTCATAGGGTTGCTCATCAAACAAAGATTTTTTTATCAAAATCTATATATTTTAAATATTTTCTATTATTTGTTTTGTTGGGGTAGAGGAAAATTTGGATGGCTGAATGAACCCTATTCAACTTTATAGATGGAATTCTTTAGATGGAGCTATTTTCTTTTAAAGACAACGAATCAGAAAGCAATTTTTTTTTATAAAATAGGAAGGTCAAGCCTTAAACAAGTTAGATAAAAACATATTTTTAGTAGGTCATCTGATGATGATGCTTAATTTAGAAATATAAAGCTTCTTTCTTTGTTTCAAATTGAAAGCCTATTATTAAAGTAAGAACATGACTTTCACAATTTCAATCAACATTTTTTCATGAGTGTTAGTAGGGAAAATTATTTTTAAATTTAATAAAAAAAGATTAATGTGCAAAACTTGATATCAATAATTAAGTCCAAACATATAATGCAAAACCTCCATAATTTTGTCTAGCGTGACATTGTACAATGTTATAATTTCAGACCAAGAAAGACTTATTGACGTTCAACTCTCTAGTTTGAATGCCGATGGCACGACTGTGTTTAGTTACACTGTACCAAACGTATCACTAGCAAGCTATTCCGTTATATCACCGACACAACCTGTTGCATTTATTAAAATATTTAAACCACTGGGAAACATCATTCTTACCATCTGTGAGGTAGAAGTGTATGGCGGTAAGTATAGACAGTCCAGTACAATCGTAGTTTATTATATTTTATTTTGCATCCAAACGTTTGAAATAGAGGGATTTGTGTTACAAGGAAGGTGGTAAATGATGTTTTGTGATACAATGGGATTTTTGATACAAGGGGATTTGGGATACAATGGGTTATGAGGTAATTGTAGACCTCAACAATAGATATTCAAAATATGAAATTATTTTGTTTTTTGCATCATCGCAATTATAAAGTGAATATGGTATCTTGATACCTGAAAATGTCATTTTCTTATAATACATTAAAAAAATTCAAGACCCATTTTTAATACGATAATATATTGACGAAACTACATTGTATTAAAAAAATGAACTTGCTAATTAAAATTTATGGAAATCTATAAATTATACCTTTACAAAAATTGATATGAACGTTTTTAAACCTTCAAATAAATTTAATCCTTTCATAGTTGTAGCAAAGGGCGAATACTTTTTACTTTGTTGAACGATACATGAAAATGTAAAAAAACGGTAGCCTACTTGTAATGTGTTCTCAATTCACAGACTCAGTGTGTCCTCACAAGACATACGGCCTTGAATGTGACAAGTCATGTAACTGTGAGAATAAGACAGAGACGTGTCTAGTGGCTACTGGAGCATGTCCATCTGGTTGTGCTGCTGGTTATTCACAGACTCAGTGTGTCCTCACAAGACATACGGCCTTGAATGTGACAAGTCATGTAACTGTGAGAATAAGACAGAGACGTGTCTAGTGGCTACTGGAGCATGTCCATCTGGTTGTGCTGCTGGTTCCTATGGAGACGGGTGTCACAGCTGTGAGTTTTATGTAAACATTGTTATGTTAGTCTTTCTCTCTTTATCTCTGTGACGTTTACAATAAAATTAATTTCAATTGGTATTTAAACATTATTTGCATATTTTAGTTGAATGCAGTATAGTTTTAAGGGGTTTAATTGATAAAATGTAAAAGAAATTACATTTAAAAAATGTATACATTTTTTGTAGAAATTAATTGGAACAAAAAATAGAATAGTTACAATTCGTATTAATACCCCGATGATAAGTAAACGTGGCATTAATGGTTGTTTGTAAACATGAACATTTCCCGTTAGCGGTACAAGATTTTTCGAACAATGAATGTTTTTGGATATTACAGAAATTATAAAATAGTTTGGTCAATATCAGTATACATTACCAACAATTTTTGTTATAAAACGCTGTGCCCTTGACTGTATCTGTAAATGTACTGCCTCTGTGTTTTATCTTGCGTGTTGGATTTCTTGCTGGTTGTAAAACATTATGACTGAATCCCTCAAAAACCCCATATTATTTTACTAGCCTATCGGGGCAAAATCGCAGAATATGATTGAGAGGAAGATCTATCTAACTTGATACACCCTCGCTACTTAATTTTCTAATTCACAAATTATTTCCTCGTAGATTGTGATAGACGTCCTCTCTTAGTCTTTTTGTTAAACGTATTTCATTAAAGTTCAACTCGATTCTCGTTGGGTATTTAATAATATCACATAAAAAAAAAACGTCTTTCTTCAGCATGCCCGGCGCAAAGTTGGGGACCTGATTGTCTCAGCCTGTGCAGTGTGTTCTGTGTCAATCAAAGTTGTCTTCCAGAGAACGGTGCATGTGTCTATGGGTGTGTACCTGGATATAAAGGCACATATTGTGTTGATGGTAAATCAATATTTTAACTATTGTATTTTTTTATTATTACTATTATTTTCAAATAAATGTGACGGCATTTGTTATGGTGAGTATCAAGGTTGAGCTCTTATTTATAATATATGTAGAAATAATTACCTTTCTTATTTTAAAAAAAAAGTGCAACCACAATTAAATTGTTTCTCGAAATTTTTAGTGGATTTAAACGATTTATATAAATAAACTTTCTCACATCTATAATTTGAAACTCATGACTAAATAAACTTTGTTGGTTCAGGAAATTTAATATACAATATAAAATTTTAGCATCATTACGAAAGCGGTAACATACAACAAACAGACAAACTCAATACCAGAACTAACTAACTAGCTCACATATTCTGGCGCTGGCTTGAGCTTAACTGAAGTGTTATGAGTAACCATTGTCTTTAACGAACTTAACAGATAATTAATTAGCAATGGTTTAATTTTTATTTAAAGAAGTAATCATCAAAGTTTTGATTTAAAGTAAATGTAACTTTTTCAATATGTCTCACATGTTCATTTGGAATGCACTTCAGACACGTGTGGAGCGGGATTTTTTGAGAAACTGTGTAGCTTAAATTGTAGGTTGAGAACCTGTGATGATACGAATGGCAAATGTGATGTTGGCTGTTAAACTGGATATCCTGGGGATGAATGCCTAGACGGTGAGCGTTTATATTAGTATATGACAGAACGGGAAGGGACAGGAGATTCACAACTTTTTGGCAATAAATCACACCTGAAAACCAGTCCAAAGTCATTAAATAAGATTTTTATATTTTTGAACAGCTTGTCCATTACGGAGATGGGGTCAAGACTGCAAGGAATATTGTAGTGACCAATGTCTGGACCAAACTTGTAACAGGTTCAATGGTGTATGCAATAACAGCAGTGATGATCGATTTACTTATGTCAATGGCACACAAGGTAGATTTAAATATAAAATATGGAGATAGCAAATTTTATTTATATGTATATTTTCTATGTCTTACCTGTTACCAGTATTATAAAGAAACTCTTCCCATTCCCCCATATACAGCGACACGGCCATGACAGGCAATTCCGGCTCATACCAGCAAGAAGCCAGTGTAGGAACTGCTCATTCCTGCCAAAGACAATCAGGCACTGGAACAAGATTTCAAAAGAAACAGTTGAAGCGACAACACTAGACACATTTGCGTCTATTTCCTCAAACCTTCCAACCCCAAGTGCATGATTCCTTCACATAGTAGCACTTGTACTCATTGAAATATCCTCATCAGCACCAGGCACAGGAACATTGCAAATCCCCTCTACATGCATAGGAGCCAAAAATGATCAATAAATTGATCGTGGGCCCTTAAGATATAGAAGACGAAGAAGTGTGTCTTGTTCTCCTGTCGCATAAGCACTCCAATTGTGATTAGATCAACTGACCAGCACTGTGTTTCCACGTAGAGTTATCGTTTAATTGCATTCTCCCACATTTCAAGAGATTTTTTTTTCAACTTTTATGTTGAATTTTTTCCTATGTCCTCCTTATTTGTAGATAGCTTTAGATTCGAGCGTGCTATATTCTCTCTACCACTACGCATTACGCTAAGCAACTTAAAAGACACATTTATTTGTGTGCCTATTTTAATAGTGTTGGTTAAAAAGAAGGCATGGAGATGCAAATCCCATCTACATGCATAGGAGCCAAAATGATCAATAAATTGATCGTGGGCCCTTAAGATATAGAAGAAGAAGAAGATGGAGGAAAAAAAGTAAATGAGAGATATATATATTATAAAGAGACACAGAGAAAGAAAATAAGAACTAGACAGAGAAATAGAGTATTCTATAAAGTAAGGAGAGCGTAATTATAGACTTTTTGTAAGATAGAAAATAAGAGAAAAAAAACCAGGAAGAGACATTGAGGGGAAGAGAACGTAACATGAAGAGAGATAGAGAGAATGGGCTAATGTTTTTTTTTCTCGTATTTTCTCTGTAGATAAACAAATTGACCTTTTCATTAAATCAAATCTGAATGCATCCCACATATAACAGTTCAAGAGGGATTTAACAACGTTGTTTTTAAAAAAAAAAATTCTCAATGCCTATGCGATCATATATTTCCTAATCCTAGGGTGTTCGTGTGATGACAGATTTGGCATGGGCTTTGGCATAGGAATAGCGGTCAGCTGCGTTGTAGGTCTAGTCATCGCAGGCATCATTTCCTGTATATTTAAGAGAAGACATCAGAACGCTAAACAAGATGTACCTGATGGGAACCGTGACAGTGCAAACAATGGTCCTCAGAGATTACCCATGCATAATTATGACACGCTAAATGCGTATGGTAAGTGGATTTAATGAGACACAAACATGTTTGCAATTTCTATAGTTCAATAAAACTTCAATTTAGAAACATAATACGCATAACGACTAAAGCAATTAGTACGGAAAATTATGAATAACTAACTCAATGAGAACAAATGAACTTCCATTTATTATTAAATCCTTCACATTAAATAATTTTCTGTGTTATGGGGGCAAAATGCTTGAACGGCTAATTGATACACTTCCCGTCTATGTATCGAGGTCAAACTTTGCCCATAAACTTGTTTCTGATGGAAACACATTCGGTCAAATTTTCAATTCCACCTACTAACCCCAAAAATCATTTTTTTAGAACGGCTAATTGATACACTTCCCGTCTATGTATCGAGGTCAAACTTTGCCCATAAACTTGTTTCTGATGGAAACACATTCGGTCAAATTTTCAATTCCACCTACTAACCCCAAAAATCATTTTTTTTCCGGTTTTTCAAGGGGAAGATGAAGGAGATATGTAAAACACCGATTTCATGAAATAAAAACACGATAACTCTGCTAAATGAGATTTTGTATTGGAAAATGTATAGAAAGTACGTGAGATGCGTTATGTCTTATTTTTGTTGATCTAAATAGCGGTTGGATCATTATAATATTGATATAAAATAATTTTTTCTTTTCAAATGCATATAATTGATTTACATGAAAAAAAAAATGGTTTTTAAGGGTTGTTTGATTAAATCCTTTCAATTAACTTCACCTTCATTCGCGTGCGTTTATGGTTAAGATAAAAATTTTCGGACGGCTTATTGACACTCCCCTAGGACCCACCCCACCCCCATCAGAAACCTTCACGCGTAACTAAAAAAACCCACAGTTTTTCAAGCGGACGTGAATGAAATATGATTTGTTCAATGGTAGCACGTTTCTCGTGTGGACGTTTATTGAATTGTTATTGCTATCTGCTTTGTAGTTGTGACATCCTTGGGTATTCTGTAAAAAATTAAAAAGTATTTTTAAAGGAAAAGTGATAAAACGTGTTTTCGCCAGTAGTTTACCCACCTACATAACTGCTTCTTAATAAATAATCAATCCATCAAATGCAAATAAATAAATGCAGAGAAACATTTATAAAAATAATTCATAACACAGTTATTTTTGGTCTTTGTAAATTACTTAAATATTGCCGTTCCTCAAAATGCATAATCACTTTTGCGTCCATTTATAATAAATCAATCGTAAGTTTATATATTTGTAAAATATGTATTTTTTTAAAAATGACTCACAATTCAAAAACTCATTATGGGCATTTATGGACCTTCATTTCATTGAAATTTATTTCTTTTATTAAGGATTTAAAATATATTCTTATACACGAAAGCAGATTGATCTTAACAAAAAACCTAAACATAGTGGATGACGATATTTAAATTTAATCACTAATTTATATATATATTTATATATATATATATATTTATATATATATAAATTACATATATATGATTATATAAAAAATATACTTTTCGAATATTACTTTGGTGCATACATTGCTATATATTTACTTCCAGACTCTAAAGGTTATGACAAAGCTACAGAATTAAATGTGACTAAAAAAACTAGCTCAACAGATGTATCAGAAGCTGAGCCAAGCCACTATTATGAAATACCGGACATTGAATGTGTTCGCTCTGAGACATAAAGGAATTATGGGGAATTATATCAACTCTATTAAATAATTCAAATGTGTAATTATGAATTATAGTTGTGTTTAAATACTTTACAACTCTTTAATAAAAATGTATTTATTTACAAACTCTAAAAAACATTTTGTTTTATATAAGTCCTTTTAAAACTAATCTGAATGCAAAGTTAAGCAAAGTTTTTTTACCGTAGAGAGTAATCGGAGGCTCATTTTTTTAAAGACCAAAATAATGAACATAGCCCACCCCGTCGTGGAAGATATCCAGATTTCAGAGCAGGTTGGGCTTGCCCTCATCAAAAAGATTAACCCCTACCTCAGTTACTTGTATATTCTATACTAGTAACACTACAGATAGAATCTATATGGAGAATAAATTAATAACAAGATTTGGTACGTTGTCTCCATATGCAATAAAACAAATCTACAATCTTACCTAGCAGCAAGTGTCTTTTTCCTGTTTGGTTTTTAGAATTATGTTCAGAACATTTCCTTTCAACTCCTCTTTTACATTTTTTTTGTTTGGTTTTAGCCCCATCTCCTTTTTTTTTTCTTCTTTTAGGTATGATATGTATATTGATATTATGTAAATTTAATTTATACTTATTTAAATGTTTGTTTGTTTGTACTGATGAAGGCATGTGCCAAAACGATTACTTATGTATAATGTATAATTATTATTAAAGCGTAACTTATATTGACACAATTTGTTCGTGTCTTATTAACCCCTACAAAGCATGTGGGCCCGACAACATCAATGCATTGAGTGCTCAAAGAATTAATCAAAGAAATCGCCCCTCCAATGACAATCTTCTTCCAATCATCGCTATGCACAAACCATGTTCCAACAGATTGGAGGATAGCGAATGTCAATCAAATTTTTAAAAAAATGGGAGCATTCCGACCCTGCCAACTATCGTCCGATATCACTCATTAGCGTGGTATGCAAACTGTTGGAGCACATAATTGTACGCGCAGTCATAAATCATCTAGAAAGCCACAATATACTCAATGACTGTCAGCATGGCTTTTGAGTCAAAAGATCATTGTGAAACTCAGCTTCTTAAATTTTTAGAAGACCTGATTACCTATCTGTAGAAAAGCAAGCAAACTGATGTGCTAGTAATGGACTTCTCAAAGGCATTTGACTGTGTCAATCATAATTTACTCGTACACAAAGTTCAGAGATATGGCATTCAAGGAACTACTAAGAAAATGGATCTCTAGCTTCCTCGGCAACCGATGCCAGGCAGTATTGGTGGACGGTACACGCTACTCCTTGGTCTCTGTTACGTGAGGGGTTCCCAGGGGCTCAGTGTTAGGTGCCTGTTTGTTCCTAGGACACATCAATGACCTCCCCGAGAAACTGACATCCCAAGCAAAACTGTTCGCAGATGACTTGGCCGTGTATAGAACAATTATTACCCCAAAAATCTGACCAGGACCAGCTACACCTGGATCTCAATCGGTTAGCTATGTGGGGGATGGCCTGGGACATGGATTTTCACCATGCCAAGTTCCAGGCACTGTCAATCTCAAGAAGTTGTACTCCTTGACACAGCCCTTACGAACTGCATGGCCATATACTTGAGCCAGTTTCTTCCGTAAAGTACCTCGGTGTTACCATTAAAAGATATGTAGGCTGAGTCGAGCATATTAACAATGTGTGAAACCAGGCAAACAACATTCTAGGTTTATTTTAATGAAATCAAAATTTTCACAACTCCAGTGTGAAATAAATAAATGTAAAGCCTTTGTCCGGCCGCTTTTAGATTACGCATCTTCAATCTAGGACCCATTTATCCAGAAGAGCAGCGACAGGTTGGAGGTGGTCCAGCAATGCACAGCAAATTTTGTCCTAAACCACTGCAAGAATTCCTTAAGTGTTAGCAGCATACTGGAAACACTGGGCTGGTCACCGTTGAAGGTACCAGTACCATGACGATTATCCGGGCTCTCAATGATATACATGATAACAAATAGGCTGGTGAACTGCTCCGGCATTAAAAATAAACTCGCCCCTCTCCCCAATGGACTGCGACGAGGCCATGACAAAGCTATTCCGGCTCACACTGGCAAAGAAGCCAGCACATGAGCTGCTCGTTCCTGCCAAATACTATCAGGGACTGGAGCAAGCTCCTAAAAGGAACTGTTGAGGCGGAATCAGTTTAAAAATTTGGGTTTATTGCCTCAGGAATTTAAAGCCCCAGTTCATGATGCCCTCGATGAAAAAGCGCTTGCAACCAAAGAAATATTCTCTCCAAAACCAGGCAGAGAAATGTGGAAATCCCCTCTACATGCATAGGAGCCAGAATTATCAATATAACCCATTGGCCTCTAATATATAGAAGAATAAGAAGCACCAGAGTGACGTCAGAGGTGTACACCACTAGAAAAGGGAAAATGAGTACAATACCAGCATAGTGTCAGATGGCAAACAACTAGCATGTTGTAGTAGGGTCCACCACTGACATGCAGCAGTACAGACAACCACTCGCATGGTTTAGGAGTGCCAACCCTAAGCTTGGAGTAAGAAGGTCCACTACTAGCATTGAGTATGAGGGCTCAACACTAGCATTGAGTATGAGAGCCCACCACTAGCAAGGAGTATGAGGGCCCACCACTAGCAAGGAGTATGAGGGCCCAACACTAGCAAGGAGTATGAGAGCCCACCACTAGCAAGGAAAATGAGGGCCCACCACTAGCAAGGTGTATAAGGGCCCACCACCAGCAGGCAGTACGAGGGCCCACCTCTAGCCGGGCGTAGGATAGTCGACAATTAAAATGGAGTTGTAGGGGCCACCACTATCATGGTACAGGATGACACACCACAACCATGGAGTAGTAGAGTTCACGTCTTTGCTGGAGTATGAAGGCCCACCACTAGCAGGGAGTATGTTGGCCTACCACTAATATGGTGTAGGGGTGTGTAGGAGGGCCCGCCTCTAGCTTGGTGTAGCAGAGTCCACGACTAGCATTGAGTAGGAGGGCTTACCACCTGCATGATTTAGTAGAGCCCACAACGTACATGTGGTGGATGCACATATGACTAGATTATAGTACGAGAGCACATCAAAAGAGTTAGAAAGTAGGACAGTAACTCCTTTTCATATCTCTATTTATAGTCCACACGTAAACGATGTGTTTAATGGTTATTTAACTACACATTGGACGTGAGTCGCTAAGCCTTTTAAAAATGTAAACAGTATTGTAATGGCACCGGCATGTTGGTCGATAGCATGTCAGTCTCCAAATATGTTTAACTGATTTAATTCATCGGATTCTTTATACGTTCATACGTTGTTATGCACCGAATTAAACACAACTCCTTCTCCATTAGTAGTGTAACATCAATCTATAAATATGTATGTAGTGCTGTATATTTAATTAAACGCATGATCGCTATGAGAGAGTTCAAGCGCAGTCATAAATCATCTAGAAAGCCACAATATACTCAATGACTGTCAGCATGGCTTTTGAGTCAAAAGATCATTGTGAAACTCAGCTTCTTAAATTTTTAGAAGACCTGATTACCTATCTGTAGAAAAGCAAGGAAACTGATGTGCTAGTAATGGACTTCTCAAAGGCATTTGACTGTGTCAATCATAATTTTTGTACACAAAGTTCAGAGATATGGCATTCAAGGAACTACTAAGAAAATGGATATCTAGCTTCCTCGGCAACCGATGCCAGGCAGTATTGGTGGACGGTACACGCTACTCCTTGGTCTCTGTTAAGTGAGGGGTTCCCAGGGGCTCAGTGTTAGGTGCCTGTTTGTTCCTAGGACACATCAATGACCTCCCCGAGAAACTGACATCCCAAGCAAAACTGTTCGCAGATGACTTGGCCGTGTATAGAACAATTATTACCCCAAAAATCTGACCAGGACCAGCTACACCTGGATCTCAATCGGTTAGCTATGTGGGGGATGGCCTGGGACATGGATTTTCACCATGCCAAGTTCCAGGCACTGTCAATCTCAAGAAGTTGTACTCCTTGACACAGCCCTTACGAACTGCATGGCCATATACTTGAGCCAGTTTCTTCCGTAAAGTACCTCGGTGTTACCATTAAAAGAGATGTAGCCTGAGTCGAGTATATTAACAATGTGTGAAACCAGGCAAACAACATTCTAGGTTTATTTTAATGAAATCAAAATATCCACAACTCCAGTGTGAAATAAATAAATGTAAAGCCTTTGTCCGGCCGCTTTTAGATTACGTATCTTCAATCTAGGACTCATTTATCCAGAAGAGCAGCGACAGGTTGGAGGTGGTCCAGCAATGCACAGCAAATTTTGTCCTAAACCACTGCAAGAATTCCTTAAGTGTTAGCAGCATACTGGAAACACTGGGCTGGTCACCGTTGAAGGTACCAGTACCATGACGATTATCCGGGCTCTCAATGATGTACATGATAACAAATAGGCTGGTGAACTGCTCCGGCATTAAAACTAAACTCGCCCCTCTCCCCAATGGACTGCGACGAGGCCATGACAAAGCTATTCCGGCTCACACTGGCAAAGAAGCCAGCACATGAGCTGCTCGTTCCTGCCAAATACTATCAGGGACTGGAGCAAGCTCCTAAAAGGAACTGTTGAGGCGGAATCAGTTTAAAAATTTGGGTTTATTGCCTCAGGAATTTAAAGCCCCAGTTCATGATGCCCTCGATGAAAAAGCGCTTGCAACCAAAGAAATATTCTCTCCAAAACCAGGCAGAGAAATGTGGAAATCCCCTCTACATGCATAGGAGCCAGAATTATCAATATAACCCATTGGCCTCTAATATATAGAAGAATAAGAAGCACCAGAGTGACGTCAGAGGTGTACACCACTAGAAAAGGGAAAATGAGTACAATACCAGCATAGTGTCANATACGAACGCAGTCTAATTTGGCGTCGGACATAGTTCATGGCATGGGTTAAGTGACGTTAACACGTCGTCTACATAACAACACCATGAGCGATTTAAATATTCTGATGTCCCAATCAATCTTAAACTGAATATTTTAACAATTGGAACGATTTCATTTTCCTAAAATATAATATTACGCACCAAACGCAATTGTTTTTTTTGTTTTTTTTAAAATCTTATTGAACGTGGTTATCGGTAGTTATATTTTGCGCGCTAGTAAACTCAATATCGAAAAATACTTTTTTTCACACATATACAATTATTTGTAATATAATCTCAAAACAAAATACTCTAAAACGAAAGCAGCCAGAAATGGAAGCAGTTGAACTCTACGAGTCACAAAGAAGCGTAATATATATAAATCATAATTCTTGCAAATTATAGCATGCTCACTCTATTTGAAAATTATTTTTCATCATAAAAGTCTGACTTTTTAAGTATGGATAGATGTTATTTATAAATGGAGTCATAACATTAGTCCTAATAAAATACTGACTTTTAGCATAATTATAAATTTTATCGATTCCGTGTCCGTTGAGTTATATGAAAAGGAAACATTAAATGGGATAACTTTAACTCAATACTCACTACTTATATATCAAATATATAAATATATTTGATT